TGCCTCCGCAGCGATACGAGCCTCCACTCTGGTAAGTGTCGTTGCGCTCATGTTGTCTCCTGAACCCAAGCCTGCGTCTCCATTGGCAGAGGCAGCACAACATCCAGCTGCAACTCCGGTACGTATTTATCTTGACCGTATCCTGCCGTTGGATCTTGTGCTCACCGCTACATCTTATTCACTTCACCGCATACTCTCCGATCTTCTCGGTCACACGGAAGGGGCCATGCCACAGATGCGCCAGCTTTTTGGCATATCCCTCTCGCACCCGATTCAAGTATAGCCAGACTCGGGATCCGGGCTCGACTTGATGCAGGCGCTCTATATCATTGTGCTGATCCGCCCGATCCGAGATCGCCTCCCGTAAGCGCTGGTTCACTTGTTCTCGAGCCTGTTGGTAATGTCTCTGGATCCGATATCGCCATCTTCGCGGATCCCGATCCTGTCTTCTTGTACTTCCCATCGGGATCACCACTTCTATTGTGGATCTCGGATCCCAGCCGTGGACGATGTAAAACGGCGTCTCTCCGCGGATCCGATCCCGAGCGGTGTCGATCGCGAATGTAAGTCGCTCCGCATACTCGTCCCAATCTCGCTGATCCAGATCCTGGACATACATCTTAAGTGCCCTTGTGGTGGTCTGCGCCATTCTTTCTGCGGATCCGCTCGCCTGGGGTCTGTATGCCATTGTTGCCCGTTGACGCTGATCCAGGATCTTGTTAAACGTGCGAAAGAAATCGGACATAAATCCGGGTTCACGATCATGGCGGATCACCTCGCTGGCACCAAATACCTCTTCAAATTGTGGATCCACGCCTCCTCGTCCTGTGTCTGTCGGATCCGCTCGATCCTGAGCTCTCTGATCACTTCCTCGCACAATACTGGGGGGTTGGATCCTGATCTCATACCGGATCTGGCCTTCGATCTAGTAGTGACGGCCGAGATCTACACTGCCGGATCTTCGGATTTCACCAACAATATCGCGTCCAGTCGGTTCAACGTGATCAGATCCTGGATCTCACTATCGGTTTCGACTTCGATTCCACCTTGTCGTTGCAATGCCGCACTAGCCAGGCTATCTGCACTTCCGTTCCAGTCCCGTTTCACATGTACCAACTCATGATCCGACCGGATCCGCAATCCGTCCAACGCCTTTTGTCTTAATAACGTCAATCCAGGAGCCTTGCAGTCTATCTCACATCTAACTTGGCGGATCTCCAGGTTTGAGTCGCCACAGATCACCAATCGTAGCGGATCCGTTCCTTCCAGCAAGTCAAGACATAGCAAACGGCCGTGATATTCGGCCTCATTGACAGTTAAACCCTTGGTATAGTCGGATCTGGCCTTCACCACAGTCCAATCAGGTAATTTCCACAGGATCGCGCTGTAGGCGCCTCCACCTCGCTTGACACGGGCGGATCCATCGAAGCTAGCAACATACAGATCCTCATCCGATCTCACCGTCGGGATCGGGGCTTGGAGCTTGCGTCTCGGCTCCTTCTTCGGGGCGATCAAGATCAGCGCTTTGTCGAATTCGGATCTGGGAGTGATACTGGCTGCTAATGTGCCCAGGATCTCGTCCTCGCCCTTGTTACAATCTCGAGGATCCAGGGTGAAAGTAGCGCGGCCCACTGTCCCAGGCGTCCTTGTAATGCATTGGATATGAATAACCAGGCCAGTGTCGAATGCCGCGTCAACACTCGGATTGATCTCCCAACTGAAGTATTATAGTTGAGATCCAGGATCCGTAATAATGCCAACACCTCTTTCTCCGCGATTCCGTATTCAATTCGTTGGACTTCAACGTACGGCTAGCGAACATCACTGGGTAGTAGGTCTGATCATACTCTTGCATCAATGCACCGGAGACTGCCCAATCACTGTCATATACAACTACCACAGCTTGCCGATCCGGAACAAGTGACGTAAGATCGGCGTCTTCGCGATCTTCTCCTTTAGCACCTTGAAATATCTGTGCACCGGGGATCTAGAACCGCAAAATTGTCCTCGGAGTTCGACCCTCTCACGCAGTCAGGTATCGGACCCCGTGACACTAGGTTCGGATCTTGCTCGCTACGTTCGGGATCCAGACCCCGCAGACCCGGATCCGAGGGTTGCGGACTCGTCGGATCCTTAGTCAAAATGTCCGGATCCGGGGATTCCGACGCTAACGCTAGCTGGATCCGGCTTCGATTCATGCCCTTCTCCATCGCAGCATAGTCGATCCCCCTCAACTCATGTAGCACAGACGCGTAGATCGCATAATCTTTGATGAAGCGACTATAATAGTTCAGGCTGCCCAAAAAGGATTGCATGGCACACAGGGATCCGGGAAACTCGAGATCCGTCAACGCCGACAAATCCTTCGGATTCGTTTTCAGTCCATCGTGCGATACCTTGTGACCAAGATATTTCACCTTGGGCATGCCTCAGAAACCCTTGACAACGCTGATCGACAAGTTCCATTTGTCGCACGC